CCCCAAGCTGCTGTTGCGCGTTCCTCCGTGCCCTTTCCCCGTTCGTGGCTGCTTCGCTGCCCGCATCCCCCTCCCAACCCGCAAAGTGCCGGACTTCCTCATACCCCCAGAGATGGTTTCTCTTAAACCTCAGGGTCGCTAAGACGGGATCCTGACAAAAACAAATCTCCCCGTGTCGTGGGATCAGCAGATAAAACGTGGGGTCTCTGCATGCTGTGCCTGTGTCCGCCGCAGCCTCTGCCCGTGCGGCTCCAGAGGAGACCCCTGCCCGTGAGGATCCGCCGCCACTCGCGGTAAAGCCCCCACGTGCTTTTTATCCATCAGCAGCAACTGGAGGGGGATACGCTGTTGGGAAGGCCCCAGGGAGGATGCTGCCCGCCGGCTGCCTGTGCTCGGCTCCCAGGGGAGCGGGGAACTGCATGCCTGGGAAGTGCCCAGAAGCCAGGAGTGTCCGAGAGCACATGGCAGTGGTTTCCGTCATGGGGAATCCAGCAGGTTTCCCCAGGAAAGGCGGGGGTAAAGGGTGCTGTGTGTGGGTCTCACTGCGGGTCACACCAGGCTTGTGTCCCAGCAGGAAAATCAGAGCATCCCACCTTGCTTTCCAGGGCTGGCTGGGAATAGCTGCTGCTGGCTTTTCCCTTCAGCGCTGCCAACGGAGTGGAATATTCCACTGAGCAGCAGAAACACCGTTCCCAGCCGGCATGCTAAAGTCTGCCGCTTCCCCAGAGATGCTCTCTGCTCGTGTCTCTGTAAATCAGTCCTGCCCTGACGCCCTAGGGAGCGCTGGCTGGCGCCTCACTGCTGGGGCTTTATGGAGGCTCTCGGGGGTTTTGCTTTTCCCTCTTGACCTGGGCCTCAGAGGCAAGTGGGGGCGCGTGAGCCCTGCTGGTGGTGATGCAGGAAGGGTATGGGGAACTGCATCCAGCTCTGGGGCCCCCAACATAAGAAGGACATGGACCTGTTGGAGCGAGTCCAGAGGAGGCCATGAAGATGATCGGATGGATGGAGCACCTCTTCTATGAGGACAGGCTGAGAGAGTTGGGGGTGTTCAGCCTGGAGAAGAGAAGGCTCCCCAGAGACCTTATAGCGACCTTCCAGTACTTAGAGGGAGCCTACGGGAAAGCTGGGGAGGGACTCTTTATCAGGGAGTGGAATGATAGGGTGAGGGGTAACAGTTTTAAACTAAAAGAAGGGAGATTTAGATTAGATTTTAGGCAGAAATTCTCGACTCTGAGGGTGATGAGACACTAGCACAGGCTGCCCAGAGAAGTTGTGGAAGCTCCATCCCTGGAGGTGTTCAAGGCCAGGCTGGATGGGGCTTGGAGCAACCTGGTCTAGTGGAAGGTGTCCTTGCCCAGGGCAGGGAGTTGGAACTAGATGATCTTTGAGGTCCCTTCTAATTCTAACTATTCAATGATTCTATGAAAAGCCCTTTATCAAGCTGTGAAATGTCCCCATGGCACTTCTCTGTCACCCGAGACTTTCGCTTTGCCTCCAGATGGTTTCCCCCGGTGGGACCCCATCCTGGAGGGGGTTGGGGGAAGATGAGCTGGAGTGTACTCTTGCTTTATCCTGCTAGAAGAAAAAAAAAAAAAAAAAAAAGATCCTCCCTCCCTCCTTTCCCCTTCCCCTCCTCTCCCTCCTTC